GCCACAATGTGTGGCTATTTTTAGAGACAGAGTCTTGCTCTTAGTCAGACTGGTCTTGAACTTCTGAGCTCAAGCAATCTACCCTGCTTGACAATTTTAAAAGACTCTATGAACAGGGCGCTGCATAATTAGGATTATCATGTGAGGACTTTTTTGCTTATCTGTGGTGGCAAATGTCACAAAAAATATGCACAGACCTCTTTTTTCCCCATCAGCTTTCATTAGTGTTTGTATATTTAATGTGTGGCCCAAGCCAATTTTATTTTTTTGAGACAGAGTCAGGGCCAGGTGCAGTGGCTCATGCCTGTAATCCTAGCACTCTGGAAGGCTGAGGCAGGTGGATTGCTTGAGCTCACAGGTTCAAGATGAGCCTGAGCCAGAGCAAGACCTCATCTCCAAAAACAGCTGGGCATTGTGGCAAGCGCCTGGGGTCCCAGCTACTCGGGAGACTGAGGCAAGAGAATCTCTTGAGCCCAAGAATTTGAGGTTGCTGTGAGCTACAAAGAATTGTTGCCACAATTCTCTACGAAGAGAAACAAAGTGAGACTCAGTCTCAAAAAACAAACAAACAAACAAAAAAAGACATCTAAGACAGAGTCTCACTTTGTTGCTCACTTTGATAGAGTGCTGTGGCATCATAGCTCACAGCAACCTCAAGCTCTAGGGCTCAAGGGATTCTCTTGCCTCAGCCTCCCCAGTAGCGGGGACTACAGGTGCCAGCCACAACGTCCAGCTATTTTATTTTTAGAGACAGTTCTTGCTCTTGCTCAGGCGGGTCTCGAACTCTTGAGCTCAGGCAATCCACCTGCCTCAGCCTTCCACCAAGATAACTCTTCTTCCAATTGGACCCAGAGAAACCAAAAGATTGGACAGCACCCCCCAACAAGCGTCTTTCCTCCAGTCTGCTGAAGAACCAACCTGGCAGTTAGATTTGGTAGGTAAGGAGAGATAGCCAAGAATATGTACTTTAAAGCGTTCATGGTAATTGAGATGCTGGTGGCCATAGATTGCACCTGAAGAAAGAAACACTACTTCACTCAGTTGGAAAGCATTCTCTGCTCGGTGCCTGTGGCTCAAGTGGCTAAGGCGCCAGCCA